GGTGATCTTTCTGAATTAGCACCCCAGGTCACATCCCTGTTCACACGTTTCCCATAGAGGAGCGCCATCCTGGCAGTCCGGTGTTGACGGCATTGGCACAGTGCACCCAGACTCTGGGACCAGCCTTCCCTCCAAGGGCACTCACTTGCAGGCTTCTCCCTCCAGGGAGCTGGTCCCCTCAGTGTCTCTGAAGACACTTTGTAGATTAATGTCTCTACAGGCCTGCATCCACGTCTTCGGTGCTCCTCCTGCTGTATTATTAAATCCTTCCCCTGTTTCAGATTGGATTTGAGCCTCACCTCCCTCTTGAAGCCTTCCCTTTCCTCCCAGGATCCTTTTTTATACTCAGATCACACATTACCCTCCACCCTTCAAAACTGTCTCCCTGCTGTGTATACCTCTCTGACTCCCCCTGCTACCCCCCACCCCCAATGAAGAAACTCTTGTTCGTTTTTTGTCAAAAATGATTGTATTGCCTTTGATCGCAAGGCTCTTTGGTGAGAAGCTGTTGAATTAATAAAAATTTCTCACCTGAAATATTAAACAAAGCCCAGAAAGACAGCTGTTAACTTGAAAAGGAAAGCTGAATTCAAAAAGCAAGGAATGGTCACAACATCCAGGAGAGGTTAGAAGAATCTCCATGAGAAAGGGCGCTCAGACCCTGCCAGGCACCCAACCTTCTGCCTTAAGTTCAAAATTCTGCAAACCCATGGCTTCTCGGACTTTTGGCTAAGATTAAGGCTTTTGACTAAGATCTGCAGCCTGTGCTCAGTTCTCAAGATCTCATTCCACAAGTGTTCCAAGAGAAAGAAGGCTGTGAGGCAGTGAGCAGACCTTCCCAGAATGTCCAAGACCTTCAGTTCTCTTTGTTTCTTGCCTCTCGGGTTCAGAGATGGGTGGGAAAGCGCTCCAGAAGGCCAGAACTGGGGAGCTGCAGCCCGGCTCCCCACTGCTCCCTTCTTCCGGCCTCGTTCCTCTGCACTGGCCAGCTGTGCCCGAAGGCCTGGAGCACAAACCTCCATGTGGAAGTCAATTTGAAAGAGTATTTAGTTTATAAAAACATAACACACGTGATTTTGGCGACAGAGAGGCTCACTTTTTAAAATAAATACATGGGAAATGTGGCCTGCCTTTGGCATAGGGGTATAGGTCACGGGTGTCAGTTTTAAGGGGAAAAAAATAATGTAGGCCAGTCCTTTGTTTCAGCAGATTCGAGCTCAGGTTGAGTGCTGAACCCTGAATTCTGAGTTCTCACCTCTTCTGCAGTAGTTTTGAACAAAGTCATCCTTGTCCACTGAGAATAAAGAGGGGGCTAACGATTTCTACCTCTCTATGCCCCAGGAGACATCTTCAACTTAAAAACAATGCCATGAAAAAAGAATTTGAACTTTTTGGAGCTAAATGTTATCTAGCAGGAGGAAATCGTTGTGTGTTCTTAATATTTGATAAGATTTCTACAAAGATTTTGAATTATTTCCGTGTGTGTATCTTAGCAGTATTGGGCAAGCTGACATTATCTTCATTCTTTGTGGTTAAACTCACGGAAGGATTCTCAGGACCTATTGCTCTATGACGTATACAAGTTTTCCCTCTCTTAGTTTCCTCATCTGTAAAATGGGTATACTGATCGTACTTATCTCATATGACCAGGTAAGAAAATGCACAGGAAGTACATTGTGAAGCAGGTGTTTTATAACCAAAAGCAAATGAATTTTCTCAGTTCCAAATATGTGTTAAAAATAAAGTTTCCTGTCAATTTACTTATAACCCATCATTGTGTAAGGAAAAGGTCACTGAAGTAGGATTTCTCATTTAGAATGAGGTGTAGGCAAGCTACTTACTCTCCCAGGTTCGTGTTTCTTTCAGGTGAATTAGGGGTGACGGTGACTCAGTCGGTTGCACAGCTGACTTTGACTTGGGTCACAATCTGGCGGGGGGATCCTGAGATGGGAGCCCTATGTCGGGCTCCTCGCTCAGCAGAGTGTCTGCTTCTCCCTCTCCTCCCTCTGCTCCTCCTCCTGCTTGCTCTCTGTCTCATAAATGGATAAAATCTTAAAAAAAAAAAAGAGTCACTTATTTTAAAAAAGGGTGGGGGGAGCTGGTTTAGAGAATCTTCAAGAAATTTCCAGTTCTAAAGGGATTTAGGAATTTTTTTCAATTCACTTTTAAACAAAGTTTTAATAAAATTTAACATAGCAAGTATACGCTTTAGCAATTTATATTTTAATTAAATGTACTTCAGATTAAAATTGTTTTATGCAGTTTTTAAATACAGAAGGATATGGAAAGTGATAAAACTTGACTTGTTTAAAAAATAGATTTGGAAATGCTGTGGGAAATTCAATTATATTTAAAGGTGCAAAAATAAGATTGAGATCACTGCTAAAAAATAAGGAAATTCACTTTGGATGCCCATTGTTTCTGGAAGAAGGGTGTTTTTATGCCTGTGTGGCTCTGACGTATTACGTGGAGGTCAAAGCAGAGAATAGTCCCCTTCTTTTTGGAACATTTCATCCAACTAAAATGGAAGGAATAGAGCTTAACACCAATACACATCCAAATAAAACATAGACCCTAAATTTGATATGCATCTCGTTTGCAGTAAGAAGACTTTCATGGCAATCCAGACCATGATGGAAACACCTCATGACGTAGAACTGGATTCAAATTCTGGCTCTTCTCCTTTCTGATGTGACCTTGGGAAAGTTCATAACACATGTGTGCCTCAGTTTCTTAAAAAATGGGACGACCCTTGGAGTGTTGTCAATATTAAATGAGATAATACACGTAAGGCTCTAAGAAAAATGCCTGACACATAGAAAAAGTTCAGCAAACATTAGTTATTATTATTGGACTCCATAAATTACAACTAGATGTCAACTACAGAGTAGTCACTGTATTAGACCCTGAAATATCTTTGGGGTTTCAGCTTTTTGCGTCTCATCTACCGTGTGTTAGAGAGTTAGATAGGGAATACCAAAAATTTAGCAGTCCAGTAGGACCCAAGGAAATCTAGAAAAAAGGCACTTTGGAGTCAAAAGACTAAATTCAGGAGGGAATAAGAGAGGTCAATGCTTAGTTGCTTGAGGTCTTGCCTTGAAGTTGTGGAGTTCTGTGCCAGGTTTTAGAGAGCAGGTTATGATGCATATATTAAAACTATGGTGACATTCAAAGAGTCAGACATGCCTGATTAGACTTTTATGTTCTGTATTTATAAAGATGTTAGTGGTGCTTTTCCTCAGTGCAAGTGATTTTTGGCTCTAATATTTATGACAATAATAAAGTCTATTCAGCATAAAGTATGTGATGAATTTGTTCCAGTTCTCAGCTTGCTTTTATTTAAGGGGATATCCCAGAAGATGCTACATCTTGGCCAGTAATTTCAGTGGATAGGGAGTGAGCAAAATTTAGGCAAGGACAATTGTACTTAAGCACTATGAGACAATATGAGAAATAGAATTTTGGCAGTAAGGCATTCTGTTATATGAATTTATCATGGAAGTGGCATAGGAAGATATGCCTTTTGCAAGCAGTACTGTGCTGCTTTGTGGTGATTCCAAGCCTGCCCCATAACAATCAATGATGTTTGGTTTGAGAGTTTCTGCACGTGGACGTGTCCACAGGGCATCAAAAGCAGGTTTAAGGTGATGAATTCAACCTTCAAGAGGTGCCTGTTTGGTCTCAGTGATCTCAGGTTGGACTCCCGTTGGCACCACAGTGTTTGGTTGCCTTTGGGGGCTTTGTTTGGTAATGGGAAGCCAAGGAAATCATAGTTATTCTGTACCACTACCTATGAAGTTTCGGCAGGTGCCTGTGGCAGATACTCTTATGATCCCTTCATTTGCACATTCCACAAGCCAAAAGCTCTAGATGTAAAGGAGAAAAGCAAAGGGGTCTCTTCTTAACAACAGGCAAACTGACTGAAGCATCTAGGGAGGGAGGAAGAATAGAACAGTCGGAAATAACTTGGAAGTTCATCTTGTCCATAGCCGGTTACAGAAGGTTTAATTAAGAAAAATGAAAAGGCTGAGGATTCTCCTGTCCTTAGTATTCCTTTTTTGGCCTCCTCCATTTCCACAGGCTGATGGCTTTTTAATATTAAAACCATTCCAAAAGGCATCCCCCAGGTCCCATTACACAAGCCACAAATCACCGCTCCAACAAAACGTTCCGAACAAAAAGCGGCTGTGATGGGCCCCCACTGGGTACAATCTTGATTCTCCAGGGAAAAGGAACTCTCAGAATTACTGATTTGGATGTATTTGGGCCAGGAGCTGGGCCTTCCCGGGAGAACATCAACACCCGACAATAAACACCGCCCCTCCCCCCCACAACAAAAACAGAACATCCAAGGCGCTGCTGCGGCGGCTGACCCTCGGCACCCGGCTCCAAACGTGACCATAAAAACAGAAGCAGGGCTGAGCCCGGGCGCCCGGGAGCACGGTGCAGCTCGCGGGCCGGGCCGCAGAGCTCGCCTGCCTGGCAGGGCTGGCACCGCGCTCCCGCGGACTTTCACCTGCTCCGCGGCCGGGCGTCGCGGGGCGGGGCCAGTGCGGGCGCGGGGCGGGGCCTGGGCGCCCGTGGGAGGAGCCGGCCCAGGCCCCGCCCCGCAGGAGGAGCGGCTCCCGGGCGGCCGATCCGGCGTCTCCGTGACAGGCGCCCCGCTCCACCGCCGCTGCTGCCGCCGCCGCCGCCGCCGCCGCTGTTGCCGCCGCCGCCGCCTTTTCTTCCTCGTCCGGGGCAGCCGCCGCGCCGGGTCCTGCTTCGGGCCGCGCGTCCACCGCTTCCTTCCCCCGACCCGGCGCCGCCCGCTCCCGCCGCCACCGCCGCCGCCCTCCTCGCCCGCAGGAATCGCGCGGCCACAGCGCCGCCCGCAGCCGCGCAGCCCGCTGCCGTCCGGCCCTCGGCGCCGCTCGGGTCCCGGCTCCCGCGGCCGCCGCGCGCCCCTCCCCTCCCCTCCCCTCCCCTCCCCTCCTCACCCCTCCCGGGTCTGGCCAGCCCCTTCCCGCCGCCGCCTCTGGAGGAGCCGGTCCACCGCGGGTCACCACCATGCCCAGCAAAACCAAGTACAACCTTGTGGACGATGGGCACGACCTGCGGATCCCCTTGCACAACGAGGACGCCTTCCAGCACGGCATCTGCTTCGAGGCCAAGGTGAGGGGCCCCGAGGGGGGGCAATACCCGCCTGGGGGCACGTCCGAGCGGACGCGGGGCTGGAGGGCCAGGCTGATGTGGGGGGCCTTTCTGTTAGGGAGGTGACTCCCCTGGTCGGGACTGAATTCCGCGGGCTCTTGCCCAGAACTGCTTCAGAGCGGCTGGGAAGTTTGGGCGGTTTTGCTGCGCCCCTTCCTCCCACCTGCAGACTCCCCCATCCTCACCTCCCCGGACTGCCTGACTTCCCGATCCCTCCTTCCGAGCAGGAGAAGCCAGCGGGGGAGCGCAGCCTGGACCCCTGATTCTTTAGAATCGCTTTGGGGAAGCTCTGGTGTTATTTACCTGCTGGGATCCCGCGGGAGAGGTGCTTTCAGGAAGGTTTTTTTGTTTTTGTTTTTGCTTTTTTAAAGGGGGGAATGCCTACTTCCTGATCGAGGAAAATAATACAGGGGTGTTTCTGTGTTTGTTTTTGTTCTAGATTTCAGGTAACCGGGTCCAGGTCCGTCACTTCTTAAATGCCTGATTTGCCAGGACTTCTTTGCAGGCGCCAGTCATTGAAGGGGGGAGGGGTGAAAGCTGTCCATTTGCTAGTTTTGTGGCGTAATGTTAAGTTTCAGTAGCTAGTAGGGAACCGCTGTTGAAGAATTTAGCGGGGATGACTGGAATTTTCAGCGCCAAGGCCAGAGCCCCGGGTCCGTCCTTGGGGAGGGGGCGGGGCGCAAGCCTCGGGACTGGACCAGGAGGTGCGCTGTAAGGCTGGCCCCCTGGGATGCACTTCGCAGAGGGAGGCGTTCTGGTTCCTGCGATCGCAGTTGGGCTCCCGCTGCCCATCGCTTGCGGAAAGTGCTTCTGCTCTTCCTTCGTAACGCCTGACCCCAAAGACTCAGAGTTTCTCAGCACCTGCAGCGTGCCTGTCGCTGATAAGTGACAGAAGGTATTGCCCCTGCCAGGAGGTTGTTTTTTAGGTTCTTGCTGGTTTTGAAAAGACAGTACTTTAGATGTGGAGACAGTTTTACTCTCCGTTCCCTTTTTTCCTTCGTGGCTTTGAAGATGCAGGTTGTTATCTCAGGCAAGAGTGATTCCGTCAGGTGGCTATTTCCTTCAATTTGTGACATATTTTTTGAGTGTCTGACACGTGCCCAATGCAGTCAGTTACCTTTAGATCTTTTTCCTTCTCATGGGGATGTGTGAATTGGTGAATCTTACTCCCCCCACCCCCCCATAATCTTCCCCCAACCACATTTGCTTGAGCTAGGACACCCCTGCCTCCATCCCACTCAGACCCTGTGGTGGAATGCAGAGCGGAATTAGTGGGTATGGCTGGGACCAGAGTGGGGCTGTAGCCAAGATCTTATCTTGTTTCTCTCAGAATAGATCTGGTTGGTCTAAGATGGGATGTTTGGGTTAATTTTTGTCCAGGCCTGTTGCTCTGGTGAGCCTTTTTCACTTTACAGCATGGCTTTTCATTGTGCTCATAATTCAGTTTTCTTGGATATCCGTAAACTGGGGAATTGGCTTTGTCTTGTTTGGTTCACCAGTGCTCTGTTTCACAAGAATGAGGGCAAGAAGGGGGATCAAGAATTAAAGTGTTTTAAAACCTTTTAATTCTTTTTTGCACAGTCTCTGCCTTTGGTCCCGACGAGGTGTCAAAACGCGACAGGCATAAAAATCCTATTGAAAAGTCAGATTCTTGCCACCCCCAATTCTAATTTGACACATCTGGGGGGAGCCTGGGACTGGGTACCTTTAAGGGGGATTGTAATGATTTAATGCAAGTGGCTGGGACCAGATTTTGAGAAATACTGGGTTTGAGGCTTGCCTCCAACTTGCTGGATCTTACCTTCACCTTCCCTACATGGAATTTCTTTTCTAAGCAAATGTCTGGGGCCTGCGTGATGTAGTTCCTCTAGTGACTTCCCCGGGTTCACACACAGTGGTGCTTGATTGGAGGATGGGGAGCCACAGCTGGTCCAGGCTGTTCCCAATGCAGATCTGAGACACAGGCGACCAAGGGGTTCTGCCCTGAGAACGGCAAGGTAGAGGAGAAAGCACAGGGCTGACTGAGGACTGGTCCTAACTCCCAGCCCTTTGTAATCGATGCTGGACACCAGGACGTTCAAACCTCATCAGCTGGGACCTGAGTAGCGGTGGAATCCGATTTTCTGTCCCAGATACATCTGATAAGCGCCTCCTCGGGCTGGTTTCCACCTTCCACCAGAGCAGGATCTGTGGACCTTCACGATCCTTGGGATGTCAGGGTTAAATCTGCACCACATTCGTTTTGGAAAAGCACCGGCTGGGAAATGTAAATGCAATCTCGCTGCCTTGTCAGATCCCCTTGGAAAATGAGCCCAGGTCTTTTCTGTCCCAAGGGCTGGCAGTTTTTCAGAATCAACACTGGATGGAGGGACTGTTTGGATGGATGCCACTCATTTTCAGGCCTCTGCAGGGATTGAAAGGGTACGGCTGGGGTTGAAGGGTGTCTGGGAGTCAGAGGGTCGGTGCATTAAAAAACAACATCATGAGGGTGCCTGGGTGACTCAGTGGGTTAACCGTCGGACTCTTGATTTCGGCTCAGGTCATGATCTCAGGGTCGACAGCTCAAGCCCCGATGGGCTCCATGCTGGTTGAGGAGCCTGCTTAAGATGTTCTTTCCTTCTCCCCCATCTCTCTCTCTCGAAGAAAAAAAAGAAAGAAAGAAAGAAAACAAAAAACATCATGCACTTAATCTCAGATGTTTTTCACTCGTGGTTTCATGTGATTCTCACTGCTTCCCTGGAGGTGGGTCTCCTCATGTCTTATAAATGATGGTATAGGCTGGGGAGGTTGTTGCCTGCTGTAGTGCACACAGCTGTGGATGGCAAAGCCAGCATTTCAACTACTGGGAGCTTTGACTCCTTCAGACTCCCAGATCGCGTGCTTACTTAGTCATTTTTATGGAGTGTCCACTCTGTGCTGGGCGGTGGTCTGATTCATGGCTCCCTGGAGGGACATTCTCAGGTTGCTGGCCTCTCGGACTCTGATGTAGGAAATTCCGTAAAGTTTTAGTGTTGGGCTGTTTGCAGATATCCCCTTGGGTTGGGCGCTGCTCCTAAGGGATTACCTGCCCTCCGTGGGCAGCATGGGTGCCTAGCCCACTGATCCTTGCTGGGAGGTGGGTGGTAAAATCTCACTCGGCCTGATGGCTTGTGTGGCTGCTCTGTCCCTGCCTCTCCCTCTGTCCCCATGTGTCTTCCTGGTAGCCAGTGCCACTGACCGACTGTCTCCCCGTGCTGGGTGAGGAGGCGACTGGGCATGGCTTTGGTGGTTATGCATTTTGTAGGTTTTTTTTTTTTTTTTTTTAATTCGCATGGGACTTTCCCATACAAAGCCTTTTCTTCAGGTAGAAACAGAAGCATTCATGTCCTCTCTGTTTCTCCGATGAAAAAAATTAGGGATCAGAGGGATTAACTCATCTAGCATCACAGAACTGCTCTGACCATCTGATTCTAGCTGATATTTAGTGAGGACTTACTACGAGCCATGGAGCTGCTGCTGCCCCAGGGCCGTTGTCTCCTGGTTCCGGTTCCTCCTCCTGATGCCCAGTCTGTATACCCAGCGCTCATCGCCTCAGCCCTTCCCGGAGACCATGGGTCTGGCACAGACTGTCACGACCGGAAAGCACCTCAGCTTACCTAGGACACAGCCCCCTGCTTTTATAGCCGAGGAAACTGCAGTGCAGGGGAAGTCGTTGACCCAGGCTCACCTCGCTAGATAAGATGAGATCCAGGACTCAGGCCTGCTTTCCTGGCTCCAAGTCAGTTTCACGGATCTATTGTTGCTTAACTGATTACCCGAACACGAAGTGGCTTTAAGCAGCATCTGTTTATTTTGTGCGCCAGGAATTCAGGCGGGGCTTGGCTGGGCTGTTCTTCTGTCGCACGAGTCGTTGTTGATGGGCTCAGTCATTTGGCTTCGTGTAGCTGTGGCTGGGCCAGGTTGGAAGGTCCTCGGAGGCCTCTCTCACATGGCCGGTTCTCCCAGTGGTGGTTCTCTCCACGGGGTGGCTTGGATGTCCTCATCGCATGATGGCCCTTTCATGTGGCAGCTGGGTTTGGGGAGGGAGTGTTCCAAGCAATGAAGGCAAAGCCTTGAAGGCCTGTCCTCCAAAGTTAACACAGGGTCAGTTTTTTATTCTCTTGGTTAAATCAGGCCATAGGCTGGCTCAGGTTCAAGGGGAGGAGAGGTAGACTTCATTCCTGGGGGGCGAGCATTAAGGCCACATTGTACGGGTGCACACGGGGTGGGAGAGATTGCCGAAGCTGTCTTTGGGTCACGGTTGGCTACGAGATTTTGTGCCCCTCTGCATACACTGTCTGCAGGGATGTGCGTGTTCTTTGAGGATGTCGGATCCTGCCTCTGTGTGGAACCCCTGCCCCAGCATCAGGGGCATACATAGCTAGCAGTAACAAAGTATTTGTCAAGTGGAAGAAAGTACCCACTGTAGAAAGTCTGAAAGCAGTAAAGATATTGTCCTATTGTGGAGTGATTTTGCAGTTGGGGAGCTCTTGGTCAAATCTGGACTCTGCTGTCTGGTCATATTTCCCTCCTTGCTAAATGGAGGTTTCCGTGATTTGGATTTTAGAGATTCCAGAAACCCTGGACGGCAGGCTGCCTGTGGATGCCTCTTGAGCATGCTGTGGCGAGGGCTTCCAGATTAGGACATTACATTATTGGCTCACCATAAATGGGGTGCTCTGACTCATACTTGAGCGCATAGCATGGTGAAGAGCTCTCACCCCGACTCCACAATATCCTGGGTGTGGGAGTTTTGCCTCCAAGTCTTGTCTTCTGGACCAGTAGGGGTTCAAATGGAGGGCCTGCTGTATATACCAACACTGCCATTGAAGCAGAGTTTCATTTCACCTTCTTACGTATTTGTCCAGATGCTTTCAAACTCACTGTAATCTTTTTTTACTTTTAATTAAGTAAGCTCTGCCCCCAACATGGGCTTTGAACTC